AAAATGTCTAAAAAGGTGAAGAAATAACGTAGAATCGAGATGCAAATACATAAAATAAGTTGTTTTTTGAAAAAAAAATCACGTAAAAACAACTTTTTTGTCACGCACTTTTCAGCTGATCATCATCAATTCTTTCTTCTGCACATATACCACTAGGAGTTTGAACCGCATTGTTTTACATTTATCCTACCATGCACAGCAATCACTGCACATTCATGCATTCTCAAGATTTTCTAAAGATGCTTGCAGAAAAAATATGCAATATACAAACGCAAAGAGCCTACTTTTTTTCAGTGTGGCGTGGACAGCAGAGCTTAAAAGGTTTAAAAGCCCCAAGAGGTTTAAATCAGGATTGTTAACACAGCGAATATCTTAGATAAGATGAGTTAATTTGGTGAAGCCAAGTCGATATAAATCTGCACAATGATAATGGTACTTACCCTTTCAACGCTCATACTAGCTGGCATGGTGATGATGAGTTTGTAACCCCGGGCAGCAGCGACCAATCCGAGTGCAATACCGGTATTCCCCGATGTCGGTTCAATAAGAGTTGTCAGACCAGGACGAATCTGAACATCTTTGACTATGGCCTTACCAGAAACTCCAGGTCACTGAGCGTCCACCGTAAATGTGCCAATTTATTTTTTGAAGTGTTAAGATTCACGCTTTCGTACGATTTGATTTATAACAAACGACATATACGTCGAGTAGATAACGAACATTATGTCTAAGCAGACAGAATACGCAAAGCTATTAATAGAAGAAAAAAGCGCTTCTGCTGAGCAAAACTACCAAGAAACCGAACAAAACAGACCTGTCCAGCTTCTTCGGCAGATTTGACCATTGCTAACCCAATTCTGTCCTTTACAGAGCATGCAGGATTTAGATATTCAACTTTTGCAGCTAAACTAGTCCAATTAAACAAACACTTCTTCTATAAAAAAAACTCTCTACCTATTGTTCCCGGCAGTCCTCTTCCAATTTTTCGTAGATAAACCATTGGTGTATTGCCTATGAGCTCTGTAGCATCCTCGGCAATACGATCTCTCGATGCCATTCTGAAAGGTATACATAGAATAAGGTTGAACAATGTACTATGACAGTGAAAAGAAAGACAAGAAGACAAAAGAGCGAACAATAAAGTCCACTGAAAGTCTAGGAGACAGTTTCCTTGGAACCGG